TGGAGGGGGCGTCGATATCTACGCATGACACCAACGACAACGGTTGTGTTGAATGGATGGGGGGGGGGTGTGTGAGGAGGGGGTTGAAATGGGGTAAAAAATGGAGGGGGTGAAGCGTGGTTCCAGCAGGGCGTAAAACTGCGTCCAAAAAAAGAAAGGTCTGTACGCAGGGACTCAGCGCACGCGTGTCGTACGAATGACAGGGCCCTCTCCAATCGAGATTAATGTTTATATTCCTGACGCCAAATCATTTTCTACTCATTTTGATTTCATTACTTTCAGCCTCCCTCGCGCGGCTTTGCCCCGCCCCCGCCCGCCTCCGCGAGGCCGTGCCACAGGACGTCCTCGTATGACTCTTCCTTCTCGAGTCTGCGTGCAGACCTTTTGTCTGCCTCCCGCCCGCCTTCAAACGTTCCCATCATATGACGCTATCCACCGTGAGTAAGTGGACGCTGCGTACAAGGACATGTGCAAGGACATGTGCAAGGACACTACCAAAGCTTTACTTGCCCCCTGGCAATACTGTCCCCCGCTACTCTTGCCCTTCTCCAATGGAACACGCCCAGCTTCAACCCGCCCCCCTCCCCCCATCTCTAATCGCCTGGCATTAATATTTACAGTTCCCCCCCCCCCCCGCCCTCCTCACCCACGCGACATGACAAAGCACAAACGGTCAGATTCAATTCCGTGCACCGTCGATCGCCCCAACTCTCGACCAACTATCACATCAATATTCCAGCGGTCATGCAATATCGCAACAACAACGTCTTGCCCGTTTGTCTGCAGTATCCACATTTGCTCGTTTGACACTTGACACTTAACTCATGCATTTCTTTTGTTGTTGAGTACATACTGTACCTGTACGGATCCTTGTTGACATAACAAGGGAGTTCGCGATATATTCTATTTCCGTCCACCCCCCCGTCGCACCCTCCACTTGCCTTCGTACACAACCACAATCCACGCTACACCCTACGCTACACCCTTAGCATGCTCGCGCCTGACCACATATACTGTACTGTATATTACCTCCTCGCTGCTACAAATCGCACCAACAAAACCGATAGCGATTGGTATGACTACCGCTTCGCAACAACTGCTTGCACCTCGTTTTTCCTTCATCATACACACATGAAAACTTGCTTCTTGTCTTTCTTTCCTGTAACCCGCAATGCGAGGCAAAGGCGATGCAAACCATGACCCCGTTCACTCGTCTTTCCATCATCCTTTTTGGTCAAACTCTACGTGTCATATTCCATCCAAAGGGACCATATTTTCGAACAACTTGTCTCAGAAACGACGCACAATAGCGGGTAACCCACCGTTTCACGCGTACGTTGCTTGCTTTGCCCACAGACACCACAATCGAACATCCCGTTTCCACTCAACAATGGATCACCACACTCCCATGCGCGTCCCAACCTAGGCAATTCATCCCGGACACATCGATTAATGAAAATCGTTCTTTCCAAACCATGCCTCAACGTTTCCCATTTTCCACCACCGCTTTTGACCCACCACCCACGCCCACGCAGAACCTCTCCGCCAGAAAACTGATACGTCACTGATACGTCCCACATCTGGCCCCGCCCAATTCCCAATCACTCATCGCGCAACGCGTTTCAAATCTTGTGCTGGACCTCTAGCACCATCGCGCACATGTCCCCCCGCTCGCGGAGGGGACATTTCCCTTCTCGTCGCGCCTCTCGCCCCGGGCGCCGCCTTCCATCTCACCCTTGACACGCGCGCCGCCCGCAAAGTCACGCGACGAATGCCGAGAATACACCGCGCGACTCGTCCGTGTTTCGCACTCCTTCCCGCGCGCCATACTGTCCCTGGCGTGGAAGCACGAAGCGGCTGGCCTGGTGATTGAGGCTTCGTGCACGTAAAGGAGTGCTGGGCAAGCTGGTGTTCTTCGTGCGCTTGCGGGACGGCGGGCGACGGCGTCGCAGAGGCGGGGTTTCGGGCCCGTTCTAATAATAGAACTCGGCGAGGCGGGTGTGGCGTTTGACCGGAGAAATGGGGATGGAGATGTGGAGGAAGGCGAAGAATGTAGGCCATTCAGAATCGTGTTTCTTCCAGTCCTTTCTGTATTATACGGAGGCCGGGCGGGGAGCTGATATGCGAATTCGGAGAAACTTTTGGCGGTAGCAGTGGTGTCCCTTCCACGGACACCCAATTACGGTACCGGTTTCGACGGCGGGACAACTGAGCTGGCATACCTGTATCTCGATGACGGGGTCTCGTGGTGTGTCGTGTTGCAAAGGGCGTACGGGGATAGCCGGAGACGGGAAAAAAGTACAGGCAAGCATTGGGGGGCAGGGGCGCGGCGTGTGGAATTGGGAGCTGCCGCCATTTTCACATCTCGCAAGCAAGCGAGCGGTATTCAGGGTGGAGGAGAGAGCAGGCGGAGATCAAACACTGGTGCGCAATGTAATTAAAACGCGCGCGAGCGAGAAATTTGACAAGCTGGATTGCAATGACACTAACCTCTCAACGTATTTGATTCCTGGGCCAATACGTGTTCAGCACTGTAGTCTGCGCCGGCAGCAATTTCAGTTTGCTACACGCTCTACGGCCCCTGTCGTTTCTTCCCCCCCCCCCCCGCACCATCCTCACCCTTGAACCTTTTGCAACTCCACCGCGTCTCCGTCCCACCGCCCACCATGTTCCGTCGCTTCACGGTCGAAGAGAGCGTGTCCGGGCAATCTGCGATGAAGTCGTCGCAGCAGCGGGCGGCACGTCAGAAGATCGTGCAGCAGCTGCCGACGATCGAGCCGTACATCGACAGCTTCTTCCCGAAGAAGGAGAAGACGATCTCGGCCAAGTGCGCGGGGCACGTGACGATCTTGGCGAGCGCGGGGGGCGTGCCGCTGTTCTTCCAGACGCGCGACGGGGCGTACGTGCCCACGCTGCGCACGCTGCACAAGTACCCGTTCCTGCTTCCCATCCTCAGGGTCGATCGCGGCGCCATCAAGCACGTCATCAACGGCGCAGACGTCATGGTACCCGGCCTCAGGTCCAGCAGAGCCGTCATTGAGGACGAGGTCGAGAGGAACTGTGTCGTCGCGGTTTATGCAGAGTCGAAGGAACACGCCATTTGTGTCGGTATTACCAAGATGAGCTCGCAGCAGATGAGGTTGAATGATAAGGGAATCGCGGTGGAGAGCATGCATTACGTCTCCGATGGGCTGTGGAAGTGTTCCGAGTTATCGTAGAGGGGATTTGGGAAGGGGGCGCTATGACAGTGTTTTTTTTTTGTCGTCATGCCTTTGTTTGTACAGCATCCGCGCAATGGTCGTATACTCCGTCGCATACATCCCGTCTCCAAGCGGAAATCGTTTTCGCTTTGAGTGCTTTGGCAAGTACGTATGTACAGAGTATCCAGAGGACGGGAAGCGGCAAACGCCGGTCAAGTGAGGGGACTGTCGTGTGATTGGCCGTTATCCGTGGTGAGAAAAGAATGTCGCATCGCGCCGCGCGATCTTTTATAGACGCGGCCGTACTGCGAGGTTGGAGCATGGCGTCTGGCGCGCAGGGGGGAAGGTTGCCCTGGCCATGTTGTGCTTTGTGTGTGGCGGGCAAGGGCCGGTAGCACTAGCGGCACTGCCAGGAGAGTCTACGTTGACGCGCCATGTATGGGACTGTAAGGGGTGTGGACGAAGCAAGTGGAAATGCCGGCCGGCATTTCGAATTACGTATCTCGGGTTTCTCGCAGTCAATGTTAGGCGATTGATGGTGTTCAGCGTCGCTTGCGACTTAGGAGGTCGTGATTTGGCGCAGTAATGGGACCGCACAGGAGCTCGTCTTGAGACGGTTGGACTAGGCGAAGGTGACATTGACCCGCCATGACATGGTACGGCAGGATGCTTGCGGGGGGGCCCAGTGACTGTCTGCTTATGTGCGTCAAGGTGGAGAGGTTTGTAGAAAGGTTGGAAAAGCAAAAACAAAGTGGCCCTTATTTTCCCCAAAATAGCCTGCACATGTATCATGCACAAACCCGCCCCCCCCCCCTCCTCTACAAATTCACTCCTCTTCCACTTCCCCTACCAAAGCCCCTTTCGCCCCCACTGACGAATCGCTCCGCACCCTCTTCCCCTTTCCACCCGACTAACTTACCGCCCTCTTCACCCCCGCCCCCTCCGTTAATGTAACTACTCACTTCCATCCCCCACCCCCTTCCCTTCCCTCCTCTCCCCTCTCCACCCTCCAAAATGACCCCTCCCCCCGCGCGTCGCCGCCGCCCCTCCGTAGCAGACGACGCCCTTCTCGCCGGTCTCACGCGCCTGAAGGTCTCGGACCCGACCCCCCCGCACCTCTCCTCCCTGACCGCCGCGCCGGCCTCCCGCCCGCACCCCCCGCGCTCGCGCGCCGCCCCAGCGCTCAACGTCGCGTACGCCTACTTCCCGCGCACGGCCTCGCCGCGCTACATCGACCGCAGCATCTACATCCCGCGCGCCGACTGGCTCGAGGTTGTCGAGCGCGCCACGGGACTGGGCAAGTCCGGCGACGGCGACGCGGCCGCCACCGACAAGCTGCTGCGCTGGATCCGCGCCGGCAACCTCGACCCCGCCGAGCTTTTCCGCGGCATCGTCGCCGGGTCGGCCCCCGTCGATGCCCGCTTGAACGTCCGCGTCCTGGCCGTCGTCGCGAGGCTGTGTGGCGGCGGCGGCCCCGTCGTCTTGCCGATGGCCACGTATGTTACGAGCGCGCGCAAGCCTAGCCCGGCGGTCAAGGTCTGCCTGGACGTGCTGAAGAGCTTGGGGTTTACAAACGCGCCAGAGGAGGTGCTGTATGATGATAATCGCGTCCGGGAGATGAGGTTGCCGGGCGTGCAGGGAGGGGGTATGGAGGCGGTGCCGGAGGTGTGGGGGGGGAAGAGGTTGTCCAAGGCCGACGCGGCCATGGCCTGGGCCGTGGAGGCCTACGCGATTGCCATGGGGAGGAAGTTCATCTTTCATCATCGCTACCCGGAGGTGGAGAGCAACTACTCGCTGGACCGGCACTACCGGAAGATGCGCGTGGAGAACCAGGTGGATCCCGTGCGGGAGGGCGCGAACATGGAGCGGCAGGGGCTGCTGATTTCGCGCGTCACGGTGGTCGAGGTGGCGCTGATCGCGTACTGTGCGGTGGTGGCCGCTGATCGGCTGGAACGCGCGCGCGCGCCGCAGGATATCATCGTCCTGGCTGTGGCGGAGGCGTGCAATGTGTATGCGTTTGCCGAGTATGTGCGGATTAAGGTCGCGGCGCCGAAGGCGGAGGACTTCGACTTGGACGCCGCGCTCGCGTGTCTCGCGGGTATGGTGGTGGAGCTGCAGGGCCGAGGGGGCACGGCCGCGAGGCTGCTCAAGAGGTTGGTTGAGCCGAAGGTGCTCGCGAGCGTCACGGACCGGAGCGTCAGACCTACCAGGCCAGAGAGCAGGCATCGCAGGGAGGTGCTGTGCACGTTTTCGTCGTTCGAAGCCATGCATAGGGCGCTCACGCCGGTGACGAAGTCGCAGGGAATGGATTTGGGCGAGTAGAGAGGGACTGGTGCCTCTCCCCTGTATTTTTCTGTCGTAGGGGAGCGGTCAGTCTTGGTTAGCTTTCGGCTCTAACTCGCCCCCTCCTGCTTGCTTGCGCACAAACATGCTCCCAAATGCGAAGGACGAAGGACGATATTTTCCGGTTCACCCAATATAAATGCAGTTTAATGAGACGGGCGGCAGCGATAGTGGCATTCTCCCGTGGAGCGAAATCCAAGCACGCTTTTGGCTAGCACCTCCACCGCGCGGCGTCTGCCGTGCTCCAACAGATCGTTGGACTGTACAATGCAAAGGTTAGCGGCGAGTCTGACAAAAAAAAAGTTAGCAGCGTTACAATTAGTCCATCGACACCGTAACACGAGAATCATGACAACGGTCTATGCACCGTGCGCTATCTGGGGACACCTGGCGACCTCGCGGAAGGGTCTGACTGGGACCGTCGCACCATCGCCTCTGCTCTGGCGGTGGCGGTGGTGGCGGTGGTGGCGGTGGTGGCGGTAGTGGCGGTAGTGGCGGTAGTGGCGGTGGCATGATCCTTGGTGTACCTCCCCCCCCTGGGTAAGGTGTTCATCCCCAGCGCGATATCAAGAGGGCGAACGGAATGATGTTTGTCGTCAACAACGTCGACGACGTGCGCGGGTGGACCCCCCCTCTTGTGAAAGTGGGTGCTGTTTGTTGTGTCTCGGTTGACGTCGTCGTCGGCCAAAGCCTTGTACTTGGCGAAACTCTTGGCCTTGATAAAAACGATGCCGGCTAGCACACCCAGGGAGACGCCGGCCCAGCCCGCGACAGAAATGTGCATATCGAACAAAAAGAGGGAGAAGAGAATGATAGGGACCTTGTTAAAGCCGCCAATAAAGCTGAGCGTGGAGCCGTTGGTGACGGAGAGGGTCCAAAAGGCGGTGGCGCACACGGCGGTGGTGAGGAAGCCGCTCGCCAAGTAGGCGAGCTTGAAGCCGAGGGAGCGGGCGGCGAGGGCGTGGAAGACGTGCGGGAACTCGCTTGACGTGAGGGCCATGGCGAGGATGGGGAGGACGGAGAGCAGGTTGGAGTGGAAGGTCTTTTCCAGTGCCGGGACGGCGGGGTCGTTGAGGAAGATGCGGAGCGAGGCGAGGTAGGCGACGTTGGCGACGACGTTGAGCGCGGCCCAGAGGTAGCCGACGCGGGAGAACTCGAGGTCGTTGATGGCGGTGACGAAGGCGGAGAGCACGATGAGGAACATGGAGAGGTAGACGGGCGGCGGGAAGCGGTCCTTGAAGTAGGCGCGCTCGAAGAGCGTGACGAACATCGGGCCGAGGGACTTGCACACGGTGAGGATGGGGAGGTTGACATAGCGCAGCGACTGGGCGTTGGTGAAGATGAAGAGGATGAAGAAGAAGATGGGGAGGGGCATGGAGCGGGCGAGGCGCAGGGAGAGACGGCCGGAGGAGGTGATGCCGAGGAGGTGGGCGAGGGAGATGAGGCAGACCGAGACGAGGTTCTGGAAGGCCAGGGTGAACCAGGGGAAGTGGAAGTGCGCATGCGAGAAGACGACCTTGTTCATCAGGGTGACGGCCGCCGACGCCAGGGCGTAGCTCACGCAAGC